CCCCCCCCCCCGCATTCAGAGGGAAGAGATCTAGGGAGGGACGGCGGGGAAGCTGCAGAGGGAGGCAGGGAGGCCGCTTCGCACCCAAGGAGAGAAGAGGGATCGCCTTCTCCGTCCTCTTCTGCCCACTACCATTAGATGTGCTGGCTAGACTAGGAGTTGCAGCCCCCCTCCCCCCCCCAAAAAATATCTGGAGGCCACAGACAAGATTGCTCCCTCTGGCCTATTATATGTCTCACCATGGGATGTCTTTAGTGCCTTTGTCCTTTTCCTCTAGGAAGGAACTTCTAAGATCCAAGTAAACCTGACTCTAAACCTGGCTCTGATATTGGAATTTGTAGATGGGGATTATCTAAGATGGGGGTGGCAGATCCAGGCGCCTGCCAGGTTCGAAGGCAGCCCGCGAGCCGCCCCGACTGACCTGGGAGTTTCCCTTGCAGAGCTGGGCCGTCGGAGCTGGTTCGCCGCTTCTGCCCTCCTTGGAACCTGCCTGCTCCTTCTGGGCACCACCGTGGGACTCGGGGTCCGATGTGAGTAGCAGATGCCCTTCCCCAAACGTGTTCCCCCCGCCCCATCCTCTGTGGAAATCAAGGATGGGCAATGGTTGGGCTGGATGTGGCTGGCATCGGGTTTGAGTCGTAGCCTGCGGGCACCACCGATGCTCAGGGCAAGGTATGGCACACCTGCATCTCCCTGGGATTTCTGCCTTGCCGCGGAAAGCTGTGGGACATTTTTTCTCCAGCAAAAAAAATCCGTCAAAGCCCTTGTGCCAAAGCAATCAAACTGGCTAAGGATGCCCACCTTGACCTCCTAATGTCCAGTCAGAAGAGAAAGGATGGGTTGATCTGTGGGATGTCCTGCACCAAGATAAAGAGAGGGCTTTTGTCTCCCCACAATGTTGATGATGATGCTTGGGGACCGCACCTGCCATCTAGTTCAGCCTTGTCCCTGCCGGTGCTCAGCTGGGCTCAGCCCGCCGGGCAACTCTGCCCTGTGTCTTGTCCGTGTTCTCTGCCAGCCCTTCCCCAAAGCTCCTCGTGATGCTCAGTGCTGCTAAGGATGATCCCGGCTCCGCTCACACAACCCGTTGCTCCTCTCCACAGACTGGCAGGTGTCGCAGCAGCTCCAGCAGGCCTCCCAAGACCACACAGTGGAGAGTGTCGTCCTGGCGGAGAGAATCGGCACCAAGGAGCGCCAGCTGCAGGAGGCCAAGGCACAGCTCAGATCCACCAGGGAAGCCCTTCAGGATTGGGAAGCAGCTGGAAGCAGAATGCAGGAGCAGCTGCAGAAAAGAGAAAAGGAGCTGAGCCGGGCAAGAGACAACCTGGATCTCCTGATGAAGGAAAAACTGCAGGAGCAGCAGAAGAGGGAGGAAAGTGAACAGGAGCTGAATGAAATGAGGCGTCAGTTGCAGGAGGTCCAGTCCCGCCCACAACCCAGTACGTTCACGAGGCCGGCGGGGTTGTCACACTCTCTTCTGCTGGAGACGCAAGTAGCAGCCTCGTGCCCGTTTAATGTGCCAGCCTTAGGATCCTTGACAAGTTAAATCCCTTGCAGGAGAGCAATGGCTGGCTTTTATGTTTCCCCAATGGGTTTCCTGACATGACAGACAGACAGAAACCCAGGCAGCACTGCTCTCTCGGATGGAACCACCTCTCAGCCACAATCTTTTCCACACTTATCTTCCCAGATAAGCATGCATCGTGCCCGTTTAATGTGCCAGCCTTAGGATCCTTGACAAGTTAAATCCCTTGCAGGAGAGCAATGGCTGGCTTTTATGTTTCCCCAATGGGTTTCCTGACATGACAGACAGACAGAAACCCAGGCAGCACTGCTCTCTCGGATGGAACCACCTCTCAGCCACAATCTTTTCCACACTTATCTTCCCAGATAAGCATGCACAGAAACCTTAATTAATTAATTAATTAATGGAAATCAAGGATGGGCAATGGTTGGGCTGGATGTGGCTGGCATCGGGTTTGAGTCGTAGCCTGCGGGCACCACCGATGCTCAGGGCAAGGTATGGCACACCTGCATCTCCCTGGGATTTCTGCCTTGCCGCGGAAAGCTGTGGGACATTTTTTCTCCAGCAAAAAAAATCCGTCAAAGCCCTTGTGCCAAAGCAATCAAACTGGCTAAGGATGCCCACCTTGACCTCCTAATGTCCAGTCAGAAGAGAAAGGATGGGTTGATCTGTGGGATGTCCTGCACCAAGATAAAGAGAGGGCTTTTGTCTCCCCACAATGTTGATGATGATGCTTGGGGACCGCACCTGCCATCTAGTTCAGCCTTGTCCCTGCCGGTGCTCAGCTGGGCTCAGCCCGCCGGGCAACTCTGCCCTGTGTCTTGTCCGTGTTCTCTGCCAGCCCTTCCCCAAAGCTCCTCGTGATGCTCAGTGCTGCTAAGGATGATCCCGGCTCCGCTCACACAACCCGTTGCTCCTCTCCACAGACTGGCAGGTGTCGCAGCAGCTCCAGCAGGCCTCCCAAGACCACACAGTGGAGAGTGTCGTCCTGGCGGAGAGAATCGGCACCAAGGAGCGCCAGCTGCAGGAGGCCAAGGCACAGCTCAGATCCACCAGGGAAGCCCTTCAGGATTGGGAAGCAGCTGGAAGCAGAATGCAGGAGCAGCTGCAGAAAAGAGAAAAGGAGCTGAGCCGGGCAAGAGACAACCTGGATCTCCTGATGAAGGAAAAACTGCAGGAGCAGCAGAAGAGGGAGGAAAGTGAACAGGAGCTGAATGAAATGAGGCGTCAGTTGCAGGAGGTCCAGTCCCGCCCACAACCCAGTACGTTCACGAGGCCGGCGGGGTTGTCACACTCTCTTCTGCTGGAGACGCAAGTAGCAGCCTCGTGCCCGTTTAATGTGCCAGCCTTAGGATCCTTGACAAGTTAAATCCCTTGCAGGAGAGCAATGGCTGGCTTTTATGTTTCCCCAATGGGTTTCCTGACATGACAGACAGACAGAAACCCAGGCAGCACTGCTCTCTCGGATGGAACCACCTCTCAGCCACAATCTTTTCCACACTTATCTTCCCAGATAAGCATGCACAGAAACCTTAATTAATTAATTAATTAATTAATTAATTAATTAATTAATTAATTCATTCATTCATTCATTCATTCATTCATTCATTCATTCATTCATTCATTCATTCATATCTTTCTCCCTTTAAAAGGACACAACATTGCTTACAACATTGAAAGACAATATTTAAAGATAAAAACAATGACTATATAAAAGTGGCGTACATTATTAAAAGGCAATATTTAAAGCTGAAAAGACTTAAGTATAGAAATATTTAAGAGGAACAAACAAATATCACTTTGAAAAATGGGGAAGGCAAGCAATACTAAATCACCTTCCCTTGCAGAAAGAGGCCTCCTTCCTGCAGTCCTGGAAGCAACGGGGCTGTTCTGAAAGACTGGGGGCAGCCCTCAGGCTTCCGCCCTCTGCCCATGGTCTCCCCCCACATTGACAGGGATGCCCTTAGTCTGCCATGGCGTGACCCAGACTGAGGGGGGGGGCAGCAGAAGGCAGCAGTTCTCTCTTTCATGACCTTCTCTCTCTCCTTCCCTCCCTCCCTCTCCATCCCTCCCTCCCTCTCTCTCCCCACCCCAGACAAGTGGACATTATTTGGATGTAAATGCCTGTGGATCTCATCAGAGCAGAAAACCTGGAGAGAGAGCAAGGAAGACTGTGAAAAGAAGGAATCACAGCTGCTGACTCTGAGAGACCCTTCGGATACTGAGAGACTCTGGGAGATTTTGGTGAGATGGGGCGGGTGGGGAGGGGAGGTGGAAGGGCTAAGAGCTCACCAGCCCTGGAAGACAAGTGCACCAATCCCAAGGGGTTGTATTATCAGACCCTAGAGGGATGCAGCGGATGATTTTTGTTGTTGTTTAGTTGTTAAGTCATGTCCGACTCTTCGTGACCCCTTTATGGACCAGAGCACACCAGGCCCTCCCGTCTTCCACTGCCTCCCGGAGTTGGGTCAAAGTCGTGTTGGTCGCTTCGATGACACTGTCCAGCCATCTCGTCCTCTGTCGTCCCCTTCTCTCCTCTTGCCTTCACACTTTCCCAACATCGGGGTCTTTTCCAGGGAGTCTTCCCTTCTCATTCAAAGGCATCAATTCTTCGGCGGTCTGCTTTCTTTATGGTCCAGCTCTCACTTCCATACATCACAACAGGAAAAACCATAGCTTTGACTATGCAGACTTTTGTCGGCAAGGTGATGTCTCTGCTTTTTAAGATGCTGTCTCAGTTTCTCATTGCTTTCCTCCCAAGAAGTGGGTGTATTTTAATTTCATGACTGCAGTCACCATCTGCAGTGATCATGGAGCCCAAGAAAGTAAAATCGGTCACTGCCTCCATTTCTTCCTCTTCTATTTGCCAGGAGGTGATGGGACCAGTGGCCATGATCTTAGTTGTTTTTGATGTTGAGCTGGCAGTAGAGGACATCAATCACATTAGTGGAGGAACAAACAAAAGGAGCTCAGAAGTTAATAGTTGATGTTGTCGGGGCCCCAGATGGTGATGCCAGGGTAGGTACGGGCATACCGTGGGCATCTAGGCTTGTGACAGGGTCTCTTTCCCATCTCTGTCTCCATGATGCGTTGGAGTTACTTATGGGAGGGGGTCTGAAAGTCCTCAAAAGTCTGGGAGAGGGAAGCCTTGCCATCATTGTTGATGGGTCCCTGTGGGCTAACTGAGGATCCTTAGGCAACACTTTCTCCATACACCCGCACTCGAGGTGACCAGGAAGCAAAGAGAGGTCTCTTCATGGGAGCAGCCCTGCACACACAGGATGTCTCCTTTAGAGCCAAAAGGTAGGTTTGTTTGTTTGTTTTATTTACAAGATTTTTTAGCCGCACCATTACCAATGGTCTCTGAGCACCCCAGTTTACAACCTGCCCGCCCCAGCCCCAGCCCCAGTCCCAGTCCCACCCTCACAGGCAGGTGGGCTGCGGAAACCCACCAGCCAGCCGGCCAGCCAGCCAGCCATTAATCACCAGGTTGGTTGATTTTATTTCATTCCCAGGGTAGGGACCCTAGGTTGCTCACAAATTAATTTTTTTAAAAAATACACACAACTAAAACACAACACTGTCTATCATATACTATCTAAACAAGTGATTAAAACACTTTAAAATACATCAAAGTATATATAAAACAATTTCCTGTCCAATTCATTGTTAAAAGCTCGGTACGGCTTGGGCCCAGGCGACATGAAGGGCTGCATCTCGCCATGGGAGCCGACACTGGCCTGACCTTCTGCTTCCGTGAAGAGAAGCAACCAGACTTTCATTGGGCTTTAACTGTTTCTTTAACAACAGCACTATTTGTTTGCACGATTTCCTCTTGCCCAACAACTGACTGAGGTACCAAGAGGCAGCCCAGTCAGTCTGGGATTGTGCTAAATAGGGTTACTTTGAGGTGCAGTATGTCTTTCGGCCCAATCCTTGCATCCACATGCAGAGACTGATTACACCACCCCTCCTGTGACCCTGTCTAGCGCCTTCCAGACCAATTCTTTCACTTTAAAGGGAAACAAAAAACAAAAACATCCCCCTCCCCCAGCCTTCTCTGTGCTTGGCTTAGACCATTGAATTATCTTGAGAAATGGAAAGAGGGGAGGGGAGATAAAGCTATTATTTCTTTTTCAATCCGTGCTAACTGATGGCACCCTTTCAAACGATCACTAATGCATTAGCAACAGTTTTGAAAAAAAGAAAACTTCCTCTCCCTTCTCCTCCTCTAGGGACTGGGGAGGAAGCTTTTCCCTTTCTCAAGATTGTTCAGTGGCTTAAGCAAAAGGACAGGTTCAGCCATTTGATTCCCGCAGTCTCACCCACTGGAAGCAAATCAAAACAGAGCTATCCCATCTAGACCAAAATAACAGTTACCCTGACAGGGACCCAGAAAGTTACAGCTAGGCATCAATCAGGGACGGGCTGGTTCGCAATCGCATACGTGGTGTACAGTCACCAAGAAATGACGTGGACAAGCCCATCCCCAACTTGGACCAAACCACAGGATAAACACCCACTGAGCTGCATCCTGAGTGCCTTCTGACCTGAGAGTCTCATCTTCCATACTGTCTCATTTCATTTTAGACTGGTTCATCATGATAGGGCTTTCACAGTACAAAACTTGCTTTCTTCTTTGTAAGACAGTACTAACAAGAGTCAGCTTAAGTGGCACTGCTGTTGTCTGTGAAAGATCCTTAGCTAGTGTCACTTCCTACTACAGTTGCTGCCCAGTAGGTCCCCTCCAGGGGGAGGAACTATCTCTTCTTTTCTGCTGATGCAGCTGTTTTACCTCTGAGGGGAGTGGATAAATCTTGGCCTGGGTTCTCTGCTGTGACCATTTCATCTTGCAGGGATTAGCTTCTTGGACTGTATTTCTCTCAGATTCCCTGACACTTCCAACCCCCTCACCACATAAAGGGGGACATTCAAGAGTTCGTACTACTGCTGGTTTCTTTGTTTGTGTGATTTCACACTCTCTATCACTTTCAATCTCTCTTTCTTTTTTTCCCCCTCTGCCCCCCCTAATTTTGCCAACAGCTTAAAAGGACTCTGAGGACAAGAGGGTTCATGCCCCAGCTTTGCCCTGAAGGGACCCCTTTGGGGCACTTCCTGGTGGGACCTTTCCTGCCTTTTCTCAAAGCGACAGGAAGGACCATCTCCGTGGTGGGCCATGGAGCTTCGAGGAGGCGTGGACTACCCTTATATCCCATTATCAAAAGTGGGGGGGGGCAGTGGGGGCATCATGTAGAATCAACTGGGAAAGTCTTCCTGGAAAGTCTTGCTATTTCAGTTCGGACGTAAGGTTAGGCTTCTGTCTTCCGAGATGGACACGAAGAGAGGGCTGGCAAGAAAGGCAACCCACAGCCCTCAGGAGCAGAGCTCACACCAACACCCCCAGGGGCGCCCCTTGTCCTGCTCCCTGAGCCTGTGAGCCATCTCCCTTGGGTCTCCCCGCCATAGGGAGGTGCGAAGGGCTAGGGTTTTGTTCTGCTCTTCAAATGCATATGCCATTTATCTGAATAACAATCATGCCCTGAGGAAGCAGAGCCCCCCTGGAAAGACAACCCTCACAGCTCGCTCCTTTCCAGAGCAGGGGGAACCTGAGTCGTGGGGCTGGGGATCAAGACCCAGGGCAGCCGAGGAAGTATTTATTCAGTTTGTTCTCCTTTTTTTTTGTTCTTAGCCTTCTGTAGAACAGACCCACCACTTCTGGATTGGACTTCAAAAAAGAAATTATTATTGGTTTTGGGTTGATGACTCATGGGCTAGCTGGTAAGTGGAGGTGAGGCGGTCCCTTTGCTACTCCCCAGTCATATCTTTCTGGGTTAGGTCAAGCCCAGGAATCGCCCCTGCCTCCCGACTCCCAAAAGCCCCCACTAGAGCCTATGACCTCCTGCTGCCGCCACTGCCGTTGACTGGCACAGGGTTCTGCCTTCATCCTTCCGCCTCATGTGCCCAGGTGGCAACCTGCCGTGCTCTCGGGAAAGGGCCTCAGGCGGGCGGGCTCACATTTGTGTCGGTTCCCAGCATGGCTCCAGCCAGCCAGCCACGTGCTGTGGGGCCCTCGGGCCTTCCACCAGCAAGCTTGCCCTGCCGTGAGTACTGGGCAATCCAGTGAAAGGGAGGCCCTTTGCCAGAGCGTAACTGGCCGGCCCCTAGCAGAGTCAAGCTGAGGGAGAAACATGAGGGAGGTGGACCAAATCCGGCACAGGATGGAGGGAGCGGGAAGGCAGGGAGACGCTGGACCCCAGTGGAGCTGTCGTATGAAGCTGAGGAGACTCATCACAGGGAATCTAAGGAGATTTGTGATTCTGGAATGTACATGACTGAATGACGTAGCAGCTCATTCAAAAGGAGCAAGATGGACAGAAAGAGAAGAGTATGATAGCCACCTAGAGTGGTCAAAATGACTAGATAGGCAGAATATAAATACAATAAATACAATAAAATGAAATAAATGAAGAGGAGGAACATTTTATGGGAAGAGGGTGTCCAGATGCAGGGAGATCTGTGGCATAGAGCACAAAAGGCTGGTGGAGAGCACCAGAGTGAAAAATCAAACTAGAGCGGATCAGCAGGGCCCTCAAGCCAGGAAAAGGCCCTCCCCAAAAAGCAGAGGCAGGCTTTTGGTTTGGGGCAAGGCCAGGAGGGAGCTGCCCGCCTCACCTCCTGAGAGGCCAGGATGCTCCTTAGCCTCTTCCGGCCAAGATGTGTGAGTCTGTATGTCAGCTGTTGCTTTCTCTTCCACAAAGTCACGACTCCTCTTGTTGTTCTCCTGTGTGGCCTCCTCTCTAGTGACTGGGCAACCCTGTGGCTTTGTGGCCTTCTGTTATCAACAGTCTTCCTGGGCTCTTGTAAAGTGAAGCCTTTATGGAGTCAATCCATCTTGTACAGTATATGGTCTTCCTCTTTTCCTGTGGCCTCCACTTTTCCCTACCCTTATTGTCTTTTCCAGTGAGTCTTGCCTTCTCATGAGGTGCCCAAAGTACAACAGTCGGTATCAGCTTTGTCCTCTTTAATTTGAGAGAGACAACTACCCTTAATGGAAGACATGTCTGTGCTGTACACTAGATCATATTCAAATCCTCTTTTCTTTCTTACTTACTTTTCCTTTCCTTTCCTTTCTCCCCTACATTCAACACCACTTTTTACAGCTTCCTTTCATACTTCTGCCTTGCCAGGACCGAGACGCCTAAGCAATGCACGACCGACCGTGATGGTAATTGTGCACAAATGAGCCGAGGGACTCGGGAGGGGTGCCATTGTTCTACACGTCACCGATACATCTGTGAGAAGGCAGCTGGGGCTGCACAAGCAGACCACACTTTCCCTTGGTGTTGAACCCAAAGACCAGAAGGTCCCAGTGAGTACCGAAGGCTTCAAGAGGGAGGGAAAACCTTTAGGGAAGGGCCCGGGGGTTTCTACAGACAAGGCGGCAGTCACTTCGATCCCATGCCACGGATTCTAGGAATGAGCAGGAAGGGGTACTTTGGCTGCTCATCTGGTAGGAGTGGCAGCTGCCTGGGACGGCAGCCCCCCCCCCATGTTGCCCCTCCTTTTATGCCGGCTGCTTTTCCTTCCCTGGATTTTGTTGCCAAGCAGAAAGGGGGAGCGGAGGAAACAAAAGACCCCAGGAGTCCTCATGAGTGCAGCCGGTCTGTGGGTGTGTCTTTGGGAAGGCCTGTGGGGGGGGGGGAAGAGAAGCAAAGGAAGATTTTTTGCAGGGGGGGGAGAAGCAAGAATCACCACTACCACCACCCCATGTGGAGGAAGGAGAGTTGAGCGCGGAGGAAAAGGAGACAGTGGGCATGAGCTTACCTCCGATGAGCTTACCCCCTTTGCCTCTCTTTTGCCTTGCATCTTCCCTCTGGCCAAGCCTCCCGCTTCCCCCCCCCCCGGGGCCCCCCGCTCCCAGGGCTACCTGCTTCTTCCCACTGCTACGACCAGCCCCGCTGGGGGAGCCGCCACCCTGAGCCCCTCCCGCGAAAGGCCACTCCTGCCTTCCCCCAGCAGCCCCCCTGAGCTCTCCCAGCAGGAAGGGCTGCCAGAGAGAAGTGACGGGGCAGCAACAGCACGGGCTCCCTGTTTGTTTCTGGGCCACGTTCAAGCTGCCCGTGTTGACCTCTGAAGCGCTTAACAGGCCAGCATCGTGCTACTTGTCTGAGCATCTCTCCTTCAAGAAGAATCCCCTGTAACCAGCCAGGAAGTGATGGTTGCCCCCCCCCCTCCAAGGGAGGCCTGGAAAAAATGTCTGCTCAAAACTGGGCCTTCTCTGTGGAGGCGGCATCACAAGGGAACGCTCTCTGAGGCCACGGGTCCCTTCCCTCCGTGGCTTTAAGAAACAAGTCGAAACATGGCTCTTTACGCAGGGCTTTAATTAGCCTTAACCTGGATTATAAAATATGTATACTTTGTATCAGGGTGCTTATTCCCTGAATGTCTGGTGGGCGAAGTTGCATCTTTTTGCTTGCTTTCAGCTGAAAATAAACAAACATATAGTGTGTGTGTGTGTTTCCTTTTTTCGATAATAGTTGTTTTACATTTAGAGATTTAGTTCCTTATGAGAGATTTTTTATTTGAATATTTTTGCTACTTTATTATATGCTGATGCTGTATTATAATGTCATGATTCTGTTAGCTGCCCAGAGTAGTGACCTGGCCACTAGATGGGCAGGATAAAAATAATATAAAATACAGATATAAGGAGCTTCAATTTATTCTTTTATTCTTTTGCTTCTAGAGAGATTTCCTGCTGGATTTCATCAACTACAACCCACTTGTTTTTCTTTCTGCCAGCCCATAGTACTCCCAAGCTCTCCTCCAACACCATATTTTGAATGAATCAGGTTTTTTTAACTTGTTAGGTTTCTTCACTGTCCAGCTTTCACAGCCACACATACTAAATGGCAACAGCATAGAACAGATGACCATGGCCCTGGTCATCTAGAGACACATCCTTACACTTAAGGATCTCGTCTAGTTCCTTCATTGCTGCCCTTTTAAGTCTCCGTCTTATCTTTGTTCCTTGACAACAGACTCCATTGGGATGGATGGTTGAACCAAGGTCTAGGTAAAGGTAAAGTTTCCCCTTGACAATTTGTCCAGTCCTATCTGACTCTAGAGGGCGGTTCACCTGCAGCCCTGCTTCGGCACTTCCTTCTTTCGCGTTCCCTAACAGTCGTTTCAGGTCACTGTTGCTTTCTGCCAGTGAGATGATGTCGTCTGCATATCTTAAATTACCAAGGGACAGGAAACCAGATTTAGGCTGAAGATCAGGAAAAACCTCTTAACTGTTAGAGCAGTATGACAATGGAACCCCTGACCTCAAGAGGTGGTGAGCGCTAAAGCGCTGGAGGCAGTCAAGAGAAGATTGGTCCACCCTCGGTCATCCTGCCTTGAGCAAGGGGATGGACTTGATGGCCTTAGAGGCCCTTTCCACCTTCATGATTCTATGACTCAATGACATTTCTAAGATCTTTCTTTTAATATTTTTAGCTCATATATATGCCTTTTCTGTTTTATCTATTACATTATATCCCCTGAAGAAGGCTGAAAATATATTAGCCGAAACGCATTGGGCTTTTATCTTTGAATAAAATAATGATACCCATTTTAAAATCCTGGGACTATCGTCTCTCCTTGCTAGACAGGAATCCAAATCAAAGCAGATCTGCCACGTGGTGGTCTAAATTTCAATTGAATGCCTCCAGTGTTGGAGTCCTCGCTACCTCCCACGATCATGGGTTCCATTGTCGTACTGCTCTAACAGTTACGAAGTTTTTTTTCCTGATATTCAGCCTTAATCTGGCTTCCTGTACCATGAGCCTGTTATTATGTGTCCTGCACCCAGGAAGAGGAGAGGAGAGAAAGACCTTTCTCTTCAGGCAAGCTTTCCCTGAGTGACAGGCTGCCTGAGTGGCGTTTTTAAAAGGATTGCTGCACTTCTCTGCTTTGAATGTGTTTTGGGTATTGCTTTTCTTTTTTAATATATTCATTCGATCCTTTTTAGTAATTGTATACTTGCTGTTGTTAGACTTAAATATTGTCTTTTAATAATGTAAGCTATCATGGGTCCTTTTTAAGGAGAAAGGTAGGGTAAAAATTGCTTAAAATAAATAAGATAAATACATAAATATGAGACGGATTGAATGCATAAAATAAGCCACAGCTGAACAGGGCTGTTAATAACATTTTGGAGGTCCCTGGGACTTATAAGGTCACCAGCAACTTGTTAGTGCATAACCACAATTGCCGTGAAGACCAGGGAAATTTCAGCTGCCTCTCCGAGGCCTGCCCAGGATGGAAGAGAAGGCAAGATGTCCAAGGAGGGGCTCCATCTTCCAACAGCTTTCCATGGAAGGAGTTGGTTTTTAAGATGGCCAGGTTCTGCCTTGTTTTGGGTTTCAACGGCCAATGCCAGCACTTTTAAACTGTGCCTGGAAAGAGAGAGGCGACCAAGACAGAATAGGAATGCCCATCATTGCCTGGCCTGGTCTCTGGGAGGATGTGTTTGAGACCAGCTAGAGCTTGTGAGCAGTCTTCAAAGGGACTCCCACACAGGAAGCATGGGTGCACATGTCTTGGGCACAAGGGACCATGGACCCTCCCGGTCCTGGAAAAGTCTGGAGCTGGTGGCGGAGTGGGTGGAAAGCCCTCCCAGTCATCGCAACCACCTGGACAGGCTGGGGAAGTACTGAGGGCAGAGCAAGGAGAGCAAGCCTATCCGGCTCTACACCCACCTCTGAGCAGCAGCCCCCCCCCCGGGTTCCATAGCAATGTCTGGGCAAAAGACGAGTGAGCAGAAGCAGCCTAGCTTCAGCCATTGGGCGACGCAGCCCTGGAAAGAGGAGCGGCTGCTCTTAACATGCTGCAGAGGCAAGCTGCTCAGCCAGTTTAGCCCAGGGAAAGTCCCCGAGAGGGAAAGGAGAGCTTTCACTTCTCGGTGCCAAGTGCCTGCCTGGGTGGGGCAGGGGGGCTCGGCTTCGCGCTTTGCTGGGCCCATCTGCTCAGGGGCAAGTGGCCGGTGGCCATCGCTGCTTGGCCAGTTTCATCTTGGCTGTGGAGAGCGCACAGGGCCCCGGTAGGGAAAGCGTGGCCTCCTCTCACGAAGCTCCAGGGGTGCCTCAGTGGCTCTGCAGGTTCTCCCGACTGTGGGATCCCTCAAGGTGCTGAGCTGGCCTTTTGCAGAGAAAGAACTACTGTACGAGGAAGGTGCCCAGCCAGGGCCGAGCCCCCACTTGCCCAGCAGCCTTCCAGAGACCAGATGGCTGCAAGAGGGGCAGTGGGCCTAGGAGGAACCCAGGCTCCAGTCAAGAAGGCGCCCCCCCCTCCCAGGAGATCAGAGGGTGCAGGAGGTGGGGGGGCTGTCTAGTGTCCTCTTCACTCGATGGACCCCGCCAGTGAAGGATGCGGGAGAGGAAAGACTTTCTGGCTAGGAACCAGGCGGGTCTTTTCAGCCCGGTCTTTTCAATGATCCTCTTCCTGAAGCAGACACCACTGCTTTTAAGTTGGGGGAGGGACATTTGGCTCACAGAAGGTGGCCGTCTTCAGGGTGCCCCTCCCTGGGTGCCTTGAGGTCACCTGGGATCCCGAGGGGACCCGTGTGCTCCTCTTCCTCCCTTGAGGCCAGCAGGG